GTTGAATTGGGAAGGAAGCTGCTCAGCCAGCACTTCTTCAGACATGTACTTGAGTAAGTTTTTTGAATAGCAATATCTTCGTTCTTTTGTATTGTGGAATTGATTTGGGGCTATACTTTTTCCTGTTAGTTGTAGTTATGTTTCATTACTACATTTTCCTCTGACTTGCAGCGACGACATCTTTGAAGATGGAAGCCACTTGTATCGTTTTTTGGAAGATGACCCTACCATAATGACTCAATGCTACAATGTTTCGAGGGATAGAATTGATGTTCAACCTAAGCCTATAATTGAAATCTCGTCAAACTTAAGATTGCTGTCCTATGGTATTTTTGAGGCTTATGTATCTGAAGGTGGAAATAATGTTGACTACAACAGCATTCATCATTCTGAGGAGTTCAAAAGGTGGGCTTCAAACTTACCATAAAGAGAATAGTGAAACCTTGGTGAATAAAATGTGGGCTTGTAACTTAATCTTTGCTGCGATGGTACCTTTCATTTTCCCTCATTTTCAATAATTTTTTTAAGCTTTTTTAATTATCCAGAAATAATCCATTCTGCTCAGTAGTTATATGACTTTAAGCAGCCTTCTTTCCTCTACAGAATTTTTTTTTCTACCCAGAATTTCAGCAGACACCCTTCAACTATGAAGACATCAGAATTGACCAAAACTATGTATTCTGGTCTTTTGCGGCCTCTTGTGAAGACTAAATCTAAGCCCATATATTTTGTCATCTGTGGAAATTTTGGTTTGATTTGCCATCATTCAATTCTTCCTACCAAACTTCTGTTTAACTGGCTGCATCATTTGATTCCCATAGATCATGCATTTAATATTTTTTTATAATTTACATTTTGCATTTGCATCTCCATCTGAATAACTTGATTTTATGGTGAGTTTCTTTTTTTTTAATGAAGTGTGAAGTAGAGGAATTTAATAAAAGAAAGCTTAATTTTGATGGTTTTAACTCCTTTTTTTCTTTTTCTTTTTTTTTTTTTTGCATGGAGTTGGCTGGAGTTATCTATAACACCAACTGTGTTTTTTTTTTTTTCTCTATATTTTCTTTATTGCTTCTTTTTTCTCTGAGGGATGCCCTGTAAGTGTTGGCCGTACCTTAAGCGGGACTTATCAGTTACCTGTAAGCTACACATTAGGAATGCATTGACGAATTGATGAT